AAAATATATTCAGTCCAACTTATAAAGCCCTGTAGTCTTTAGTCACAGCAGTGTTTTAAAAGTCCAAAGTTTCTGTTGAGACCAAGGCAATCTCTTAACTATAACCTCCTATGAAATAAAAAAAGCAAGTTATATACATCCAAAATACAATGGCATAGACATACATTACCATTTCAAATAGGATGACTAGGGGCATAGGGAGAAAACACTAGACCAAGCAAGACCAAAACCCAGCAGGGCAAACTCCAAATCCTGTAACTCCGTGCCTGTTATCAAAGAGCTTATATGTTTCCTATCTCCAGCTCGGCTGCATGCCTCTCAGACTGGTCCTACTCCCTGTGTTCTCCCTTTGGCAGATGCCTCACAGCTCTGGCCTTTCCAACATACTGGGGTCTTCAACGCAACACAAGCTTCACTCCCACAGCTCCACACAGTGACTTTTTCAGGGCTTCCATACAGGGACTCCCCTTCAAACGCCTGGCTTCAGCAGCTCTCTGACACTACAGAGGAATGTTCCACAACCTCTTAACTAGTATATATCCTTTATGACTCTAGAATCAACACCACATAGGCAGTATTGCCAAGTTCAGCTGCCAGATCTGGATGAACCCTGGGCCCCACTGAGTCACACCTGCTGCACTTTTGTTTACTGTTCCTTTCTAGGTGCAGAAAATTCCCTAGACCTTTTCTTTTCACAAGCTGGAAGTTTAGCTAGATAGGGTCTCTCCCTGAGGGCACTCTTCCCTTTATTTTACTATAGATCAGACCTCTCTTCAATTTCCCTATCTCTTTCAGCACAAGATTTGGCTGCAACAATGCTTCCTGGAGTTCTTTTTCTCTTGAAACTACATTTTATATTTCTTTCTGTTCGACTTGTTCTTTTTCACTGCATAAGATTACTAAATATGCAACAGAGTCAATATGAGGTCTTAATCTCCTCTGCCAAAGTCCATTGCTTTTAAATTTAGTCTCAGGCAAGTTCTTAGGACAGAAGTCACAGTTTTACCAAGATACCAATCCTGCACACTTGCTAATATTGTTCCCCCCTGAAACCTATTGAATTGGGCCTCCACAATCCACATAGCTCTCAGCACTACTGTTTTCAGCGCTCCAACTAAGACGGCCCATTAAGGTCTGCTAACAGTGTTCAACTGCTTTTCTATCTAAAGCTCCAAAGTTTTCCACATCCTCCAAAAGACAGCATGGTCAGGTCTGTCACAGCAATACCCTACTCCTGGTACCAACCTGTTACTTTTCCATTGCTGTGAAAAAAAACTCCATGATAAACAACTTATGAAGGGAAGGATTTATTTGGGTTTATGGCTCCAGAGAGATAAGCATCACCTCACAATGGGGAAGCTCAGCAGCGGGTAGGCATGGCAGCAGGAACATCTTAGAGCTTGAATTTCAAACCTCAAGCCACAAGCAGAGAACACACTCAAAATGGTAGAGTCTTTACGGTCTCAAAACCCACCTCAGTGACATACCTCCTCCAATGAGGGCATAGCTCCTACCCGCCACCCCCACACACAAATAGTGCCTCAAAATGGAGGCCAAGTATTCAAATGCCTAAAAATAGAGGGACATCTGTCATTCAAACCACCATAACACCCAAAGAAGTGTCAAAAGAAGATGTCCCTGAAGTTAAGAAGGCAACAAGCAGTTAAGAGGGAAAAAAAAAACACATGTTATAACAGAGCCCTCTGAGGACAGTGGGCTGGAGAGAGCCACAGATGGAACAAGATCATGCCTGTTAAACTAAAGCTTGAGGTTGCCGTGTATTCAAACATTTCAGGCAGCACTGCCAAGGGCACATGATGACAGAATGCATGCTCAGCACTTCAGGTCACAATGGAGTTGAAATGTCCAATCATTTAGGCCATGGCAGCACTGTGCAGCAAATTACTCCTACTTTTTGTGACAGTGCTGTGAGCACACATACCACAAAACAGCAAGGCACATGTGACAGGAGGCAAATTTGTGTTGAGATTTAAAAGGAAGGACACACATTCTTCCCTGTTGTGGCACTGAGCCATAAACACATTTGGGTAACAGTGCATACAACAATACTCAAAGAGAAAGCAGGCTTCCTCAGGTCATCTGGTTCTGCCTTTCTACGTTCTGGCTCCCTCTGGCTTTAGTTACAGATGTCCCTCTAAGGGACTGGTTGTAGGAGGTGGTTTGTGTTGACTGGCTTGTGGGTGATAGAACAGAAATGCTCATCCCCTCTGAGCTGCCTGGCACCTGAGGGATTATGTGGAGAGATGCTAGAGAACTCTCTAGCAAGGAAGAAAATAGGTTGCATGGAAAAGTGCATCTTAGTACACATGATGAGCTAGTATGCAGTCTGCTTCACCTCATGTTATGCCAAGGCTCAACATGAAACCCTGGTGATGTGGTCCTGGGATGCCAACACTTCTAAATAACTGGCCCCTCTGCAGGGACATCCGCTGCAGTGTTAACAAGTCCCAACTGCGATGGATTTCCTGAGAGATCAAGAATGTCTGTCATATGACCTAGTAATAGCACGTCTCAAAGTGATGCTCAAGGCAACATTTCAAAAGCAGAGGGAAGGCTACAGTATAAGACAATTGTTAAATCAATCTGAAAGATGCCCTAGCTGGTAGTTCCTTCTTAACAAGTCTGAACGCTGACCTGTGTGTTTGTTACTTTAATGAACTACTAGGCAGGGACTGAAAATAACTGAGCAGCTCAGTTTTAGAAATCTTAAGCAAAAGCAAACCAGCCCCGTGGTGCTTAGTTTACATTCTACACTGCACTGACCACCATTCTCTAGAAATTCAAAATAGCATCCATAGAACTAGAGAAAGATTTTGACATAAACCACATGTCCTGTACAACTCAGAATACCTGTAACCTGGGAGACCATGTAGGGAGCAGAGCCAGCTCTTTTCACAAAACCTCAGACCACAGTAACTGTGGAAAGGTGGAGAGGATGAAGCAGGTGGGGAAGGAAAAGGTGGACACCAGCTTCCAGTTCAGGGGAGCTTAACGCTGACACTGAACAAGACACAGAAGAGGGTAAAGCACAGCCTAGAGAAAATGCTTGAAGCCAGGCCACACTGACAAGAGCATATAGGCTTCTGGAGTAAGGGAAAACAGGGCAGTTAGAAATGGATTTAAATGAAAAAGAAAGGGAGGGAGGAAGGGACTCAAAGTGATTGTGAAAAGGAAAAAAGAGCCTGACTGCTCCCATTGGTGGATACTCATTTACTGTACACACACATGTGCAGCCTGGATGTAAGAAACCACTGCAAAGCACCAATGCTCTGCCAGAGGTCAGGGCTTATTTTATTTTTAATTTAGTTGTTTTTGAGACACATTATCACTGTATAACTGTGGCTGGACTGGAACTCACTATGTAGACTAAGGGTAGTCTCAGATCTGCCTGCCTGAGTGCTAAGATCAAAGGCATGCACAGCCAACCCCAACATGGGTTCTTATGAAAACATGGTTTCACATGAGCATCTTGACTTTCCAGTTTCCCAGACATCAGCATCAACCCCACCACACTGAAGCCCTCACCAGTACACATGCACCACACTTGCCTACTCTTCAAACATGGAGGCAGATGCCCACAGCCTCTACCAACCACGTGAGTCCTCACAGTCAGTCAGCATTAGTCTCCTCTCACCTTTCTGAGTCACCAAATCATTTTCAATATCATCACTCACCTTGGTTAAGTAGCATTTTATGTGATCAGTCTGACATATAACTGTCTCAGCTTGCCTCACTGGCTCAAAAGAAAACTTGAACTACATATGCTGTGGCTAGCCTGCTGTGTTAACTGTAAAGACCAGTACCCACCCCCGTTCCAGGTTCTAAATTCCACTGCCTCATCTGTATGTCACAACTAGGCCAGCTGAACAGCAACCCTGGGGAATGACCCAAGTCTTTGGCAAATGTATAGCTAAGTACACTATGCATCTCATGTATATGGATTTGAACATTCTCCTTTGGGAATTCTGCAGACCAGCAGAATGATTGACTGCACCAATTCAGATGAACTACACCAATGCACATGGGGCCTGGAGAGAGGTTACAATGAAAACAAGGACTCAAAGCAGCCTCTTCCTAAACGGTCTGCTTTGCTCTCCAGAGGCACAAATAAGATGCAGGAATGTTCTGTAGGTTTCACCACTTCCTGTCCACACATGTAAGACAGTCACAGAGTGTCTTAGATGTGCATCTGGAAGACACTGACTTGCCAGTCCTTTGGTCACTTAACAGGTAGACAATGCACAGGGACCACAAAACCAGTAAATGATCATTTGGAACAGTCCTACTCAGAAGAGGTTAGGACAAGAAAAGAATTCAACTTCAATTTCACTGAAGATGAAAATGGTGGGGAAGGAGGGCCAGATAACAGAGTAAAGCTGCTTGCCTGGAAACCTAAGTCTGAACTGGAATTAACTCATGTAAAGGTGGAATAGGAGAACTAACTCTACAAAGTCGTCTGGCCTCCACATGTATGCTATGGCACATACACTCCACACACAAATATACATATAATAATAACAAATAAAATTTGAACTTGAAAATTGAAGCTGGGGCTGTAGCTCAGTGGTAGTGCATTTGACAAGCATGTGTAAGATAAAACCTAACATCTCAAAAAAAAAAAGCAATGAAAATTCTTAAATTTTCACTCAATTATCAGAGAACTTAAATGTTTGGGACAACTTGGATATGAATTTTTTTTCAACTGCTTTATGACACCTAAATACAGATGTTTCTGGTGAAAAATGAGTATGCAAGCTCAGTTACACTGTGGGATACAGTGTACTTTGAGGACTTAATACGAAAAAGAACGAAGAGGTCTTATCAGTTATAAGTGCTTGTTATTCTTGCAGAGGACTGTTCTCAATACCCATGGAGCAGCTCCACCTGTAACTCCAGTTTCAGGAGAGGACACCCTCTTACGACCTGAGGGCACCAGGCATACAGGCAGGCACTCACATATACACAAAAACAAAAGTGGGTGTTGTGTTGCACACACATCTTTATTCCCAGCACCAGGGAGGCAGAAGCAGACTTATCCCTGAGTTTGTGACCAGCCTAGTCTACATAGCAAGTTTCAGGACAGCCAGGGTTACTTAGAGACCCTGTCAAAAAAAAAAAAAAAAAAAAAACAAATAGAGTATCTCCTGATGGTCCCTGTATCCTGACTATATACTGAGATAGATGTTCTGGATATACTAAGTTCAATAGAAAAATACTAATTTCACTTTTTAAATATGGTTCTTACAAAGCTAAAATGACCTGGGAATGTAGTTCAGCTGGTAGAATGCGTATCCAGAATGCAAAGACGTCCAACAAGGCATAAACCAGATGTGATGGTGTACACCTATAATGCTAGCACTCTGGAGAGAGAGGCACAAATGGGGGATCAGAAATGCAATATTGACACTTTGGCCTCTCTGTGACTATGCACATGGTGCTCAAGGTTCTGAGAACAAGTGATGGCTGAGTGCCTATCCTATGCTCAGGAACATCAGGAAAGGGAACAGAAAATGTAAAACTAGAAGACAGAGAGGGCTGTGAAATGCCATCTCCAGGGCACAACATAGCCACTGCATACATGACACAGCACATATAGTCTCAGAGCAGTTTCAACTACCTGCACAGGACCTCCAAAAGACTACAACTGTCAAGAAGCAATCACTGACTGGTGAGGGATTCATGGGACCCTATTTCTCCTTGCTGGACAACTGTCTACAATGGATTTTGGGGGAAAGTCACTGTTATTGTCCAGGTTCTAATAGACAGTACTAACTAAACCCATGGTCTCACAGGCAGTCAGATAAAATCAGTGGATCACAAGACAACAAAAGAATAGAATCTGAAAATAGGACTTGTAAGAAAAAGGGGGAGTTGACAGGTGGAAGGAAATAAGAATGGAGGGTGAAGGGAAATGGAATGCATTATATACATACATGTATGAAATTGTACTGACTACAAAATCATCTCTGCTACATATCCAGTTGGAGCTGCATAAAACTGTCTACCAAAAAGAAAGAAAACTGAAAGTGACACTTTTCCTTGCATCCCTATGACGCCAGTACTGTTTCAGAGCAGGGATCCGAACTGAGGGTCTGCTGCCATCTTCTGGACACTCGCATACAAAACTGCTCCATGAGAAACAACTTTCTGAAGTGGATTTCATGTTTCATCTGAGGGGCTGAAACAGGAAGGTAAGCTGGGCTTGTCAAAAAGCCTTATAATTGATGTGGTAAACAAGGGATTAGAAAGAGATTTACAGAGTCTTCAAAATCCCAGAGAAAACGTGACCTATAGTTACTAGTTGTCAGTGATGAGTGGCTGTGCTTGACTACTTCTGCCCACCTACAGGTTGACTTTTTAGTTTCTGGCCCTACTTTTGGGTCTTTAGTTTATCCTGAGTTGCCTTTTAGATATGGCATCAGGTAAAAACTCATTGCTTTGCCCTGGACAATATGTTGTGAAATGTGCATTCCTTCCCATTGGATGGTCCTGGCACCCTCATTAAGAGTCAACTGCCCATGAATACCTGGCTCTATTCTACCCTACTGACCTATGTGCCTGTGCTCTTGTGCCAGTACCACACCATTTGTACTGTGCTAGCTTTGCTAAGTCTTGAATCAAGAAGTTTGGTCCTCCATCTTTTCTCTGGCCATTCTGGGTCCCTGGCATTTCCACTGAATTTTAGGATGCATTTGTCATTTCTGGAAAAAACAAACAAACAAACAAAAAAAGCAGCTGGGTTAGCATTCTGATGTATATTAAGAGGTTTTTGTTTGATGAGACTGAAAGAATGACATTATGTCTAGGTTTCCCTTTGCTGTGCAGTTCAAAGGTAACTTTCTTCATACTGGGACAAGAAGACTGGGTGCTAGAAAAAGGTGCATGAGTCTAGAGGTTAGATATAAGTTGTTTAAGTCCTGGAACTGACGCTTAGATGCCACGTGACCTTGCGCTAGGTGGGTCATCACAGGACAAATCAAACACTTCTACTCATGATGCAGTGCTATGTGAGCAGAGAAAAAACTATCAAGGAGACCCCAAAGAGTGGGTCTTCCCTCACACCTCTTTCCATTCTTTCAGGGCACTGCAGAGACTTTCCTTGAGTTGGAAACGACCCACTGCTCCCAAAGGCTTGGCAGCCAACTCCTGACTGCCTGTTTGCAGATGCATGGGTTAATCCTCTGACACCCCTACTTAGTGACATCCTGAGGATTCAATAAGGATACAGGCAGGGACCTACCTAGTTTACACAATGGGGTCCAAGTCAGGCTATAGAGAGTCAAAAAAGCCTCAAGCAATGGAAACACCAGGACATACTAAGGCAGGAGAGAAAGACAAGGTCAAAGCTCTAATTGGCAAAACTAGGAATGCTGGTCTCTAACCAGGTTCAGCAGCCTTCAGGAATGCCCAAGTAATTCAGCACAACTCCAGATGTCCAGAGAAACAGGGATGCAGGCAACTGGATAACATGTTGACCCAGATCAACAATCAACTTCTCCCTCTCTGAATTGTAGGTGCTCTTTCTGACCTTATGGCTTCAGATGTGACTGCTTAGTTAGCATTCTACCAGTTTCCCTTTTCCACTTCGCCTCCTACAATAGTCCCTTATTTGCTTGATAGACAGGTAAAAACTCCTGATATTGCTCCATTACCTGTCTGAGAAGTTGAATCTGTGGAGCAGATACCAGCATGCTAGCATTTCTGAAAGGAAAGGAATGTAGTCCTATAAGCGAAGTCATGGGTGGGTGTGTTTGTGAAACAGGGTTATAAGCTCCTCTGCAGGTATGGAGAGATGGATCAGTAGTTAACAACACTGGCTGCTCTTGTAGAGGATCAAAGTCCAGTTCCCAGCACCCACATAGTGGCTCACAACTATCCGTAACTCCAGCTCCAGGGTTCCAATGCACTCTTCTGACCCCTTTGGGCACCAGGCACACACGTTGTGCACACATATACAGAAAGGCAAAACATTCACATACATAAAATAACCTAAAAAAGAAACAAGTTATTCAGTATCAAATTTTAGATTAGTATTTACAGTTCTCACACCTGGAAATCCAAATGAGTTACAACTGGGTCAGCATGAAGGGGAGGAGCTAAATTCCCTCTACACCAAGCATTAAAAATGGACAGCTAAGTAGCCAGTGAGCTCTCATGGGCAGACTCACTCCTCCCTTCTAAGTAATCTGGCCTCAAGCCTGTGCATCCTAGGGAAAGGACAGGAAGGAAAATGTAAAACTCAGTCCTATCCTGATTTCTGATGACACAAACGCAACATCATGCTTTTCAAGGTCATGTGACTTGTTTATAATAAGATATCATATCATCTAGGGTTTGGAAAGTGACTGTGGAGGCCTGTGATGGGCTTTCAGAGGCAGAAGAAGATGCGTGTGACGAGCCAAAGCCGTGTCCCGAGTTGCTTGGTGCTGGTCCCGGTTTGCTCCATGGCTGGCTACTCAAAGCACCAGTTCTCTTTTGACCCACAAAGTAATTCGATGGTGGGGCAAACTCAGGATCTCGTTCAGCCCAGAGTTCTGACTGCTTCTTCGACCAGAACCCAAAAGAAAATTCT